CGCTCTTCCTCTCTACCCCTCAGCCTCCGTGCTGACGTTTTGACAATGGGGCTATTTGTGTCTGCAGCAGGGACCACCTAGATGCTGATAAAGCAGGGAGGAAGCCTAGTGCCTTGACCCGGAGCTGGCTTCCTGCTCATTCGTGTGCCAATTCCACAGTAAGAATGAATCCTGTTTGGGCAGTGGCACGGAAGGTCTAGATCCTGTACTTACTGTATCTCCTAGAGACCCTGCCTAACAATGGGTGATGTCACCGGCCCTAGGTTCTTGTGCCAAGCCAGCATCAGAGGCATTTAAAAGGAAGCAAAAATAACAAAATTCACAAAATGTTAGAAACAGCATGCCCTAAGGTCAATGCCCCGGTGACCAACCATCCCAGTTTGCCCAGGACTGAAGGGTTTCCCAGGATACAGGACTTTCAGTGCTAACACTGGGAAAGTTCCATCACACTGTGATGAATTGGTCACCCTGCTTTGGGGCCTGAGAACCTCTCCCTGCCCACACACAAAGACCAATGAGTGAGAGGGACAGGGATGGAAAGCTGACTTCCCCAGGGAGCGCACCGTTGTAGTCCACCCCCAGGGGAGAGTGTACAGGAGTTTGGGAAGTAGAACAGGAATCCAACCTATCAGGCTGGGCTTCAAGCCTGCAGGGGAGCTAGAGAGCTGAGTGGGGAAACTGAGGCACACCCCAGTCATGGATGTAACTATGGGAGGAAAGCTGTGACTTCATGAGCACCTGGGACGCAGGGCCAGGAGCAACGTGGCCATTACCGGCCTCCACATGCTGAGCCTCCTGACGCCCCGCAACATCCCTTCTACCATCCTCCAAATCTGAGACTTCCCTTCTCCCCCAGGACACAGTTGGAGGGAAAGGCAAAGACAACAACAAATATGGCAGCACGCAGAAGAGCTTTGCAGACAAGGGCCTCCCAAAACCTCCTAAGGAGAAGCTGCTGAAAGTGGAGAAGCTGAAGAAGGAGGGCAAAGGCAGACGCCCCCAGACCACAGGCAAGCCCCGGGCCCTGGCCCAGCAGCAGGCTGTGGTCCGAGGCATCACCTACTACAAGGCGGGCAGAAAGGAGATGACCGAGGCCATGGCTGGTGAGTTAGAGGAAGATTGGAACCTTGGGGAGTGGGGGCCCCTACAGGGACCCAGGGTCTTCTCTGCAGCCAGACTGCCCCAGATCTCAGCTCCATGGGTTACCTGTTGGTGCCCTTTGCTCGTCCATACAATGGGATAATCCCCCTCCTGGGATTGTTGTTGGGGATGAAATGATCAAATCAACACAAAGGGCCACTCAGTTCCTCTCCAGTAGTTATCGCTGTCTCCACCCTCACTGGCCTTTATCTTCTTCATTGAAAGGTGTGTGGAAGGTTCACTATGTACGTGCTGTACCTTCCGGACTTTCTGCCTAACACGGAGCTCACAGTCTAGTGGGAAAAAGCATACCCATAACCAGGCGGCTGCCTCTGGTGGGCGGGCGAAGGCAGGGACCAGACCAGGGTTCTGGGAAGTGACCTGGGGCCTTTGTGGCACCTCCCATTTCCAGACTGGCCTTGGGGTGGATGGCCTCTCCAGCACCTCCCACCCTTTTCCCCCCAAAGAAGAGCCCACAGACTCTTGTATCTTTCTTACAGCTCCCTGCGCGATCACAGTGAAGGACAACCAAATAATGAACCGAGAAACAAGAGACAAAAGTTCCAAGAGTAAAAAAAAAAAAAAAAAAAAAAGTTCCAAGAGTTCCCAAATTTCTGGGCCATCCCCACTGGTGTGGCTCCTGGTTCTTCCCCTGAGCCCCTCCCCAGATGCCTGCTCTCCTCTGATGTCCCTGAGAGGTGTCCCAAGCCTGCTCCCCCTTCCAGGGTCCTGCTGACCACCTCCTCCAGTGAGGTTCTCTGCCCAGCCCACGCCCAAGGGGGCCAGGGGTAGAACTGTGAGGGACCACAGTCTCCCAAGAGCTCCCTCAATTCTTGGCCTCTCAGGGCTCAGGGGCCTCTTCTCCCAGCTCCTGGTGCCAGCTACTGGCTCTGAGTCCTGCCAGGTCAGCCTAGCCATGGCAGAGAGCCTCTGACCCCTGGCCAGGGCTCTGCCCAGGAAGAGCTGCAGGCATCTGACTCTGCCAGTGAGGACCGTGGGAACAAGCCCCTGCCCTGGCAGGCTGCCAAGACTGGGCCCCACTGAGGCCTGCTGACCAGAGGGGGTGCCCGCATTCCCGAGACACTCCAGGGGCTGCTCCACAGCAGGGCCTGGCTAAACCCCCGTGCAAAGAGGAAGCCCAGCAGGGAGAGAAAAGGAAGAAGCCAGGTGATTGTCTTGGAGTCAAGGGGCCTCAGTGCATCTCTGGGGGCCACACCATCACGGTAACAACAGCACCATTCCTTTGTCTCTGGCATCACAGCCTGCTGAGTCCTTTCACACATGCTGTTGCCCTTGATCCAGCAGAGGAAACAAGCTCAGAGAGGCGAAGTGACAGCCTCCAGGTTTCACGGCGAGTTAGTGGGACTGGAACCCAGAGGCTGAGGAGTTTTTGTCCCCTGCTCTGTGCCACTGAATCTTTCCCTCCCCAGACCCCATCCATTCCAACCCAGGAAAGCGTGTGTCAGGGAGGTTGCAGAGATGGCCCCAAACCAGTCCCAGGGAGCTGAAAAAGCCCTCGTATCAGCAAAGCCCGTGCCAGCAGGAGGGGAAGAAGCGGGGGAGGGATGCCAAGAAAGCTGAGAGATGGGAGACAGGAGAGGAACAAGGGAGCAGGGGCAGAGAACTGGGGTCCAGAGGTGACGGGAAGCTGGCTGCACCTGCCCTTCCCTACCTGAAGTGGCAAATCCTGGGTGAGAGAAACTAGAGGGTGTTTCCAGGGCAGCGGACTAGGAGAAAGTCTGTAATATGGGAGCAAGGGTTTCTGCCTCCTGGAATTGGATCCAGGAAATGAAAGAATTGGTACAAAAGGGACATTTAGAGGGGAAAGGGGTCTCACATCTGGCACCTCATATTTGCCAGGATCTGTGCAAGTGTCTTGTGCACATTTTCCTCTAATCAACACAAGAGCTTGACGTGATGGACCTCATGACTCATTTCACGGAAGGGGAAGCCGAGGCCCACTGAGGCAGGGGACTTGGCCGAGGCCACTCATCTGAGGGGCCTATAGCCAGTCTGCTGACCATGAAGCCTTCCCCACCTCCCACTTTTCGAGGCCTTTCACTCCTTAGGGGCCACCCGCACGTCTCCCCCATGGCCCCAGCGCTGGGACCCGGTGGGCCTGGACCCTGGGCAGCGGCAGTGCTGCTGGGATGTGAGCACAGGGTCTTCTCTCCACAGACAACGCCCTCAAGGGCACTTCCTGGCTGGAGCAGCGGCCGCCCCGGGTGGAGGGCAGGCAGCCTGAGCCCAACTCAGCAGAGCGTGACGAGACTGGGCCCAGGGCCTTTGAGGGAGCGGACTTGGCCCCTGGCACCCCTGCCTCGGATCCCACCCCCACCCCTACCCTGACTCCCATCACCAGTCCCCTGCCCACCATGCCACCTTCACGCCCAGAAGTCCCCAGCCAAGGTGAGTAAGCCTCACAGCGGTCAGCAAACTACAGCCCGTGGGCCAAACACAGCCTATAGCCTGTTTTTGTACAGCCCTTGAGCTAAGAATGGTTCTTACATTTTTTAAGGGTTGTTAAAGAATATGGGACAGAAGTATGTGGTCTGGAAAGTCTAAAATGTTTGCTATCTGATCTTTACAGAAAAAGCTTGAAAACATTAACAGTGAAACAGGTAGTGTTTCCAACAAATTCTTATTAAAACGTCACCTAGAACCCCATCATCAAATCCAGCAACTATTTTCACTTCTGTATTTCCTCTGTCTAGTCTTTGGCCCTGTTTTTATCTCCACGTTTATAGTTTTGGCTTGTGTCTTTGGTAGAAATCTTCCTCATTAAGTCATCGATCGAGCCCGTCCTTCTGGAGAGCATCTTGGCTACCTGTGATAACAAGACAAAACCATTCCCTACTTTGGTCCACGTGCATTCCACTTCTAGGAATCTCTTTCCTAAAGGATCCATCAGATATGTGAACAACAGCTGCAGCTTAACTGGTTTCCTTGCAGCCTATTTCTAATGTCAGAAAACTGAAAATAATCTAAAGGCCTAACACTGAGGGGACTGGTTAAATAAATTCAAGGGCGCAGCTGTCTGGCGGCCTGGTGGAGCCTTGAGATCACATCATTAAAAGGCCATTTAATGATGTGAGAGATTGCTCAGTGGAAGGAAAAAACAGAATACCTAAAACTGTATATTCAGAAGAATCATGTTTTTTTTTTTTAAGTATGTCTGCGTGACTATACATTCAGAGAAGAAAAAGGAAAGGAAGGAAATACAACATGTTTAAAAATTTCTTTGAATAATAGAATTTTGAATGATTTTTATTTTCTCCATTCTCCTTTTCTGAATGTTCTGTGTTTTCTACAATGATCAGACATTGCTTTGATCACGAAGAAAGAAAAAAGAAATACATAAGGCTGCAAACAAAACCTCAGGAGGGATTTAAGTAAGACCCAGATAACGTTCCCAGGACTGTTGCTCTGGCTCAGCGTCTGTGGGTCTGTGTACCAAATGCTGCACCCCTTGCTCCCCACAGGCAGAGGGGCGAGCTGCGAGGGCACCCTCCGGGCCGTGGACCCCCCTGTGAGACACCACAGCTATGGGCGCCATGAGGGAGCCTGGATGAAGGACCCCGCTGCGAGGGATGACAAGATCTATGTCACCAACTACTACTATGGAAACAGCCTGGTGGAATTCCGCAACCTGGAAAACTTCAAGCAAGGTCAGGGACCCCTGTGATGGGAAAGAGGCAGGTGTGGGTAGCTTAGGGAGGGTCCCCCGTGGAGACTTGGCCCTCCTTTGCCTTGTGGTTTCCTGTGGTCCAGACTTCCCCTGACTGGCCTAGCTCTGAATGGTCAGCCACCCCAAGAAGAGGAGTCTGGGGGCACCCCCTATGTGCTGGCCCCAGGCCAGAAGCTGGAATGCAACAGCAAACAAGATGGACCGTGGTCTTGCCCTCATGAGTGTAATTTACTGTCAAGGGTAACAATACTTAGAATTTCCACTTGTTGAGTGCTTATTATGTGCTAATCACCAGTGTGTATCAGCTCACGGTATCTTTGAGGTGGGGGTTATCACCCTGTTTTACAGATGAGCAGAGCCCCAGGCCTTACAGGACCTTCAGGTCTGGGCAGGGAAGGGCAGAAATTTGGTTATCAGATCTGGAACATGATGAGGGGAAAGGGTCATTTAGACATGAGCTGCCCTCCAGAAATGCACAATCTGATGTGCATGGCAAAGGCTTCAAGAAACAATTTCAATATAGTGCTAGAGGGAGGCCTCGGGGGCTATGGGAACCCAGCCTGGAGATCAGGAAGACTTTCCAGAGGAGGTGATGCTGAGGCATTCCCCAGGCAGATAGGATGGGAAATGGCAGTCTAGGCAGAGGGAACAGCATGGGCAAACGCCCTGAAACAAAGCACAGGGGCTGGTAACAGCCTGCATCTAAATCCTGGCTGTGCTGTTCCACAACCAGTGACCTTGAACCCTCTGAGCCTGTTCTCTCCCTGGCAAATGGGATAATAATAGTACCTCCTTCATGGGACTGTCTTGATGGGATCAGATAACTGGCCCAGCTCCAGGCCCATAGCTCACTCAGTATCCTTGCTGGGCCACCCAAGAGCCCTGGCCCCTGGCCTCCCTGGTCCCTGGGGTGGGCTAGGGTTTTTTCGGGAAGCTCTGGTGTGACCTTTCGCCCTCCGCACGCAGGCCGCTGGAGTAACATGTACAAGCTGCCCTACAACTGGATCGGCACAGGCCACGTGGTGTACCAGGGCGCCTTCTACTACAACCGCGCCTTCACCAAGAACATCATCAAGTACGACCTGCGGCAGCGCTTCGTGGCCTCCTGGGCGCTGCTGCCCGACGCGGTGTACGAGGACACCACACCCTGGAAGTGGCGCGGCCACTCGGACATTGACTTCGCCGTGGACGAGAGTGGCCTGTGGGTCATCTATCCCGCTGCGGATGACCACCACGAGGCCCAGTCCGAGGTGATCGTGCTGAGCCGCCTGGACCCCGGCGACCTGTCGGTGCACCGTGAGACCACGTGGAAGACGTGGCTGCGGCGAAACTCCTACGGGAACTGCTTCCTGGTGTGCGGCATCCTGTACGCCGTGGACACCTACAACCAGCGGGAGGGCCACGTGGCCTATGCCTTCGACACGCACACGGGCACCGACGCCCACCCGCAGCTGCCCTTCCTCAACGAGCACGCCTACACCACCCAGATTGACTACAACCCCAAGGAGCGGGTGCTCTATGCCTGGGACAACGGTCACCAGCTCACCTACACCCTCCACTTCGTGGTCTGAGGGAGACCTGGGCTCACGGGAGAGGAGTGGCCGTGGGCATGGGGGGCTCCCCACAGTGACTCCTGCAAGGGACTCCCTCAGCAAATATTTATTTACTGGGCCCAGGCCTGGAGCTAGGTGCTAGGCAGTGGGCACAGCCAGCGTCAAGCTTCCTCAGCACTCAGTGGAGTAATAATCACTTCCACTTGCACAACACTGCCAAGAGCTGCATGTGCACTAACCCACTTCATCCTCCTGACACCCTTGGAGGTAGAGACAGTTAAACCCATTTAACAGGTGAGGACACTGAGGCCTCACTTTGGATCTGGCAAGCCCATTTTACAGATGACACCTGACCATGCTCTACCCTAACCTCTCCCCTACCTCCAACCCTCTCCCCTCTCCCCTCATTTCTCTTGTTCTCTCAAGTCTATCTCCCTTCCCCGGGGCTACTCAAAACCAGAGGCCTTTGGGACCAACACACTAGTGTTGGGTGGAGGCCCAGCTCTGCGTGCCACCCCAGGCCCCTGTTCTGACGGAGCTGTTGGTGGCCCTGGGGCTTTGGGCCCTTTGGCTAATGGGCTAATGTCCTTGTTCCATGCCTTTGGCCAGCCCCCCATCCCCACCCCACCCGCTGTCTGACCACATTCCAAACCTCCACAGTCATCCAGCCACTGAGCAGAAACCACACCCCGAGAAAAAATACCAGCCCCCGTTCCAAGACCCCCCCCACCCCGTACTCATTTTTATTTTCTCTTATTCTTCATCAGTGCCGTCATTTGTTTCTGCAGCAGCAGCAGCTGAGAAGGCTGCAGGCAGCTGCCTGCCAGCATTAACTCTACCAGGGTGGGGAACTGGGCCAGGCCCCGAGGCTCCCTCTCCACCCAGAAGTGCTGGCTTTGGTCACATACCCAGGCTGTGGGACCTCTCCCCAGTCCCTCCGAGAGCCTTTGCACCTGGGGTCCACCTCATCCTTTCTCTCTGGGCCTTTGAACCCACAACCTATACGCACTCAGGGATACCTCCAGGTCGGCCACGAGCAAGACCCTAGGCCTGAGGCTGGGTGGCACCAGGATGAGACAGGTTTCTCCTTCCTTGTCAGTCCTAACCTGGTCATTTGGTGGGCTGGCCTGGGGGACTGGGGGAGGCTAAGGTATGGGCAACCAGGTCCAGAGGAGGCTTCGGACCTTCTGGGTGCAGGGAGGGGTCAGAGGTGAAAGCTGGGAGGGAAGGAGAAAGGGATCTGTGGATCAGACTTTTCCTGGCTTCAGAGATAATGGTGCCAGGGCTGCCCCGAGCCCAGGACTTGGGGCTGAGGGTGCACAGGTGGGCTCCCCCGAGCCTCAGACCCAGCAGCCCTGGGGACAAGACCTTCAGGCCTGCCCCACATCTGCTTTGAACAGTACTTTTAGAACTGGAAGAAGTTCTCCGGTCTGACTCCCAATATCTACAAAAGAGAAACAGGCCCAGAAAGGTTTAGAGAACGGCTCAGGGCCACACTGGGAACAGGACCCAGCTGATCTCCTCTCAGAAGGGCTTTGTCTTTATCCTTTATTCTCCACGCTCAGAGGCAGCTAGGCAATAGACCACCCAGCACCCAAGTCATCCCAGCACCTTTGAGGGGTGTTTACTGCGGATCTCTACACAGCCCCGGACCCTGCTTCTTTCATCCTGTCCCCATGCCAGCTCCCAGGTATCTGTATATATGAACACCCAGCTGCCATGTTGGGAAATTCAGCTGCATACCCAAGAGTGTAAAGAAATGCATTTTGTGCAGAATACATTTCTTTCAGGCATTGTCAGGTGATGTTGTTTTGTTTAAGCCGTAACTCACTCCCGAAGTAAAGGGGAATGATGACGCCCAGCCAAGCAAGGCCTGACTCATAGTGGTGGACACATCCAGCCTCCCCTGCCCAACTGAACTCTGAGGGCTCCACTTAGAAACTCTTCAGGGGGCTGCAAGTCCCAGCGTTTCCCTTGGCCCTGGGTGTGGGTTTTAGAAGACTCTGTCTTTCGTGATATCACAGCCCAACCACGTGAGAAATGTTCAGGCTTCTCTCTCCCCATTAGTCTTAGAAAAGGGAAAGTTAGAATGGACCAATTTTGGAAAAGGACAAGCAAAATGGTTTTCTCGGGGAGAGGATGCTGGCTGCAGCCTCTAAACATTCACTAAGCCCCTTCTGTTTTCAGGCCCTTGTATGTGGGTTATGTTGTAGGTACAATTATTTTCCTCATTTTACAGATAGTCAAACTGGAGCCCAGAGAGGTTAAGTGGAGGCAGGGTCAAGTGGAAAGCCAGGTTTCCAAATCGGTAATATAACCTGAGCATCAACAGTGGGCTAAGCAAGCCATGTGCATATTCTTGCATCTTCACAACAGTGGAAGGTATGTACTCTGAGTGTGTCCATTTTACAGACGAGGAAATGAGGTGAAGGGACTTACCCAAGCACAGCAGCTTAGCCTGTAGCACAGTCAGGTTTTCAGGGCTGGTCAGCGCATGTTCTTTGCCAACTCTGTGTCACTCTAGCAGCAGCCCCAGAAATGGTGGTCGTTGCTTTTAACCAGTGTAGCCAAGCCACGAATTGCATCTACATAGGAGACCCAAGAAGGAAGTTGGGGTCAGTTTATAAAGAGCCTTGAATGCCAAACCAGAGAAAAGAAAATTCCAAGACAACTGGATTTTGTTCTATCGGTGGCGGGAGGCAGGGGAGAATTTTTGTTGTGGGATTTATTACAGTTGGTAACAGGTACTTCAAACAAAAAAGGAGAGGACTAGCTGTCCCTACCAACCTCAGCTGTGACAGCAAAGGAAGTTGTCTCCGGTGTTTCTGAACAACATGCTACGTGAAGGGGCTTTGGCTGCCACCTTTAAGTCCTCCCAAGAGATTTCTAGACCTTAATATTGACTTTGCTCTGTCTGGGAGGCAGTCCTAAAGGTGAGGCTGGGGGTTTTTCCTGGGAATGACTTGAGGGCTACTGAAAGCCCGTATGTTCTAAAGCACCTTTTCCTCCATGACAGCACTGGAAACCACTCTGGTGTCAGGAGGACACAGCACTGGATGGTTGTCAGGGAGCCCTGGATAGGAGTTAGGGAGAACTAGGTTAGAATCCAGCTATGCTTCTGACATGCTGCACAGAGGGGACAGATGTCAACTCCCTTTTATGGCTGGAGACCTGCAGCTTAGTGAGGACAAAGGGCAGCTGAGGGCCCAAGCAGTACCCTCCTAGAGCTAGAAGTCACCTTTACATACATGATCACTAATCCACCCAGGAACCCCAAGGTTGGCATTACTTTTCCCTATTACAGGGAGTGAACCTCAAGTTCAGAAACGTTAAGCAAACTGCTCAGGGTCACAAATCTAACAAGTAGTAGCGTCAAGAGTTGAACCAGGTCTGTCTTTACACCAAAGCCCAAAACTAACTATTGTTAGGAATTTTGTAACCAGTCAGGTTTTCTTCTTTGCTTTGGCTACTGGGAAGCTCAAAGTCAAATTTGAGATTATTTTTAACAATTGTACTGGGTCTCCTACTGGACTCTGGCTTTATTCTGGCTTTCTGCTTTTACCTTTACCCTGATCTCTTTATTTTTATTATATTGTATTTTATCTATTTTTGTAAATTTCCACAATACCTTTTTTTGCAACAAGGTGGAATATACCTAAATAAATACATGATCAAAAAGCTTGATTTAAAAGTCTTGACTAAATGCTATGGTCTGCATCCTTATCATAACACAGACATTTAATAACTTTAAAACAATACCTTGTTATGAGAATCGGCCTTGTTGCTAGAAACTGATCTGGATTATGAACGAGGGCAGAAGAATCCAACTCAGGCTGACAACCAGGCCCCTCCCAGTGAAGAGGAGAAGCAAGCCATTCCCAAAGGTATGCAGACACTACCTTGCAGCCCTGCCTTCAGCTGCAGAGAGAGAATCCCAGGGAGGGAGCCTTGAGCATCACTTAGTCCCATGTTCTCAAACTTCAGTCATTCATGTACAGACCCTCGTTGTGATCTTTGTCATTTCCCTCTACCATCTTCAGTATAGTTTACTATTTCTTTTTTCAATGATTTCATTCTTTTTACTAAAATAATTTTGTTTCAAAGGGAAGCTTTAAAAGCTGTCAGCAAAAACGAAAACAAAAAATCTTTAAAAAAAATTTTTTAAGTAGGAATATTACAATAGTAAAAAGAAAGCCAGTGACCACAAACACAAGGTGACCGGGATGCGACACAGAACAAGCAGCACTGTCACATCCCACTGGACACCATGCCGGTGAGGCCGGCCAAAGCGCTCTGTGTAAAGAGGAGGATTCGCAAATGTTCAGGGGACATAAAGGGCAAACCAGCAGCAAGTGGATATTGTCCTTGATGTAATCAGAGGGATGGGATTGGAAGGGAATAGCTTCTCCCATGTGACTTAATGGCCCTTCACGTGGTGGCTTAGGTACCTCCAAGGAGTTCTCAAACCACTGATGGGTGACTTGGATTTAGACTAGCTTCCCAAACACACACACACACACACACACACACACACACACACACACTCATTCTGCCAGGCCTTCCCTCCCTGGCCTCCGCCAGCTACAGGCCAGCCTCGGCAGAGCCCCTGCCTGGCCTGGTAGCTGGGCACTGTCCCTGTGGCCCTGGGCAATGACGAGGGTCCCAATCCCCACAGTACAGACAGGTCAGAAGCACAATGCCACACCTGCCATGGCAGAGGCTGATGGGAACATGTCCCCTCTCACAACTCAGACTCCACTAGGGCTGACCCTAGTCCCAAGCAAGCCAAACATGGCTGGGTTTGAGGTAATCTGGATCATGGCCTCCCCTCTCTGACCCCTCACCAGCACCAGTCCCATCTGCTCTCCACCCCATCCTCCCCAGCCTTTGCATCAGCTTTGCATCCCTCTGCCTGGTACACTGGTGCCTGTACCTGTGCATGGTTGCCTCCCTCTGGTCATTCAGGTCTCACCTTCCCCAGGGAAACTGTCCTTCAATGCTGAGTCTAAAGTCGTCCCCATCGGGCTTCCCTGATGGTGCAGTGGTTAAGAATCTGCCTGCCAATGCAGGGGACACGGGTTCAAGCCCCGGTCCAGGAAGATCCCACATGCCGCGGAGCAACAAAGCCAGTGCACCGCAACTACTGAGCCTGCGCTCTAGAGCCCACGAGCCACAAGTACTGAGCCCACGTGCCACAACTACTGAAGCCTGCGCACCTAGAGCCCGTGCTCCGCAACAAGAGAAGCCACTGCAATGAGAAGCCCACGCACAGCAACGAAGAGTAGCCCCTGCTCGCTGCAACTA